AGAGAGAGAGAGAGAGAGAGAGAGAGAGAGAGAGAGAGAGAGAGAGAGAGAGAGAGAGAGAGAATCAGAAAAAGAAAACATTTTCATCAGGTACCTATTGTTGGTACTTCGTGGCAGGATCCAGAATTAGGTGAGGAGAAATTTGCTTCCCAAGAGTTACCCCAAATCAATTGGTAGTCATCATCCACAACTACCCAGATTGCAATTTACAGGTCTCTACTTCTTGATGGTTATAAAACCAAGCAAAAAGTCTACAGTCAGCAGGTGGTTTTTAAGACAGCATTCTGAAGGTCAGTTAGGACAACGGGTCTTTTTGGTTGGGTATTCTAATTTCTGAGACAAGATTCCTTTTCTGGTGTTCAGATGGGCAGGAGGGAGAGAGAAAAGCTGGCAAGGAACATGGCGAAACAGGAGCGCAATTCATGACCAGCTCTAACCATCTTGTGAATTTTCTGGCCAGAGTTAGTTAGACTCTGCCAAAGGGGTCGAGACTGTATTGCTGGTGCTCAAGACATCCTAATGGTTGGCAGGCACCACACCGAGCAGAGCACTGCCCTTCCTCAGAAGCCAACAGTCACGCTATGCCTTTTCACTGACACTATCTGACTCATGCAACCATTCAGCACAAATAGAAGAGGATTTAATTTAGATCTTTCAGCATCTAAGAGGCAGCTTTCCAAACGCAATTAATAAATAAAGGCTGGAGAACTACAACTCATTTGGGGCAGTTTCCATTCAAAAAGTTTGGCTTGGAGAGACATAACAGAAGGAGAACAAAAATGCAATCCTGGAGACCGGATACTGTGGTGGCTTGCCTAACCATGGTCTATGGGAGAATTTCTCTGGGGGTCCTTATAGATCCCCGAGAGAAATTCACCCACAGAACATGATTAGTTGAGACATTCAGATTTGGGGTGGAAGGAAGGAACTTCAAGTTTTTACAGAATCCAAAGTGCTGACAAGTTCTTAAGGACAGGAAAAAGGGCCAAGGAAATGCTTATTGCTGTGAGCTGTGAGCAAGTAGCACACAATGATGTAATAGTTAAAGCAGACTTGTCGGATTCTGGACAAGAAAATCCTCCCCTGGATTCTTGGAAAATCAGCAGGTTATGAATGGAATAAACAAGAACCTTCCTAACAATCATGGGATTTCTCAATAGGAATTTGGTTTCTTCCCTATATGGATTACTGGTGAGCTGCATTGCACCACATGTTGTGGGCCAGAGTGTCATGACAGGATCCCGTCCTTTGAAAAGCGAGCACAGCCAGGACAATAGAGTAAGGGGAAAATAGTTTTAATTCAATTAGATTTTAATTCCTTTTTTTTCCTGTTCAGTGGTGTCTAGTTCTTGGAAACTGCCTGGACTAACTAGGCCCTTGGCAAGGTTTTTCATAAGTGGTTTGCCATTGCCTCCTTCCTAGGGCTGAGAGAAAGAGACTGGCCCAAAGTCACCCAGCTGGTTTTTCATGCCTAAAATGAGACTAGGATTCAGAGTTTCCCAGTTTCTAGCCTGATTCCTTAACCTCCGCACCAAACTGACTCTCTTTTAATTAACTAAATGCAGTTAATGTGACAACTCCCAAATCTTTAAAATTGGAAAGCAGCTCTTCTCAAAAAGAGTTTCTGGAGGATGGATTGCAAGCCTGGGGTGCTAGGTTGGATATATAACTGATCCATAAGCTGAGCTGTTAGGACTTTCTATCCGTTGCCATTTGATTCTAGTTACACAACACAAACAAAGACTTTGGAATGTGCTACTTTTAGAATCCTAGCATTGTTATGTTTATCTGATTCGGCAGGTTTTCATGTTCTCACCACTGTTATTTTATTTTTACCATCGTCCAGCATTAAGTCAATAAGTACCAGGGATTGAGGGAAAATAAACACTATCAAATAAGACAGCATTGGTAGGAATTCTTGAAAGAATCAAAACATATCCAATATAGAGGGACTAATAGAGGCAACCAATTTTGTGATTATTTAAGTTAATAAAAGTATAAGAAAGGATGGGCATGCCTATGTTGCTTAAATTCTTTTGCATGAGTCTACTTTCATCCCAATAGGGCAGTCCAGCTAAACTTTTGTCAATCTTGTGCTTAGATTTGTGAACCCCAAATATCTAACTCAACCAACCAACCAAAGGCATTCTCTAAAGGAGCTCATCCATTAAAAAAATGCGGTCCAGAATCATTCTGATCAGCCATACCATCTCCCAGATTACAGATTCTATTCCCCTTTATTTACTATTTCCGATCCCTCCCCCACCACACCATAAATCAGCAAGCATTCAATACTTTCTAGGCATGCTCAGTTGTCACACATGAAGACTGAAGAATCATTTCAAAAGATCCCAAAAGTTCTCCCCCAACAAACACACACACACACATAAAACGGGGGAGAAAGGGGTATGTAGGATTGTGTGTGCCTGTGGTTACTTTTCATCTGCATGAAATTAAGCAGTTGAGAACTGCAGACATAACTGATGCAACGGCTATGCATTGTTGCAAATCCAGAGGGAAACGGAAACTTTGACTGACTGCAGCTCTTTAAAACAGCCATGTTTTTCCCTGGGTGCCTTCTGCAAAATCCTGAGAAAAGACACAACCTATATTCGTATCTTCATGTGCTCAACTACCTTTGGCCCTGAGAATGTGAAAAGCACAAATTAACAGTCCACATTCTGAAGAGAAGCTTGATCAACCTGAAGCAAGGATGGCTGACCTATAACTCATATAAAAAGGCAGACACCGAGTAAGATGTTCAGAGGGAACCACTGACATTTATGGACATGCTGATGTATTTATTAGCTGGAGTACAATGGGAGGGGATTTAAAGCTAAATGGGTTTTTTTTTAGGGCTGCTGCTTTTGACTTTTTTTTCTTTCTCTTATTTTTTTCCTCGCTCTTTTGTTTTTATTTTCCGTTTAAATGATAATATCCATTTATCCTTTCAATAATGATAAATAGTCAGCATACTAATATTATGTTCCGGTTTTTATAAAGTTCTCCATGGAGGTTTTTGTAGATGATATAATGAACTTTGTTCTATGCAAGCAATTAATTAATGAAAATCAGGAACTTTCAATTTCATGACAATTGTAAACTTCCTTCCTGTTTACTATTTTGTTCTCTTTATCCACTGTGTTTATTTTTATTTTTCTTCATTTGGTAGCTATTTATTCTTTTTTAATATTTAGTAAATAAAATGAAAAGTTAAAACAAACCCTACCTAGTGCAAAAATTAGACCACAAGCCAAATCTGTTTCCAATATGCCCTGCCATTAAAATTGAAACAAATGTGTATCATATCAGAGACACAACAAGATCCAAGGACTAAGTCATTCTGGTCCTTGACATAATTGTGGGGAAATTCCAGACTATCCATGGGAACACAGGAAAGACCCAAATATCTAGAGATGAATCAAGAAGTAGCAGATCCTAGAAATGTCAACTGTAGGACAAGCCCTTTTACTGCTACTCAGTTCTGCCGCAGCTCCAAGCACAGTATCAAGATTCAACATTTAAGGCCAGAAAAAACAGCAGTTTGTGGAAGAGTTCTGAATGAAAATTAACCAGCTGTTGAGTTTGAGGCACAAATGAAGATGAACAGAATGTTGGAAAAAGCAAATATCTTCCCTTCCCTTTGAGGTATACAGAGATCTTGCTGCCCCAGCCCTTTTTAACTGTTCTTGAAATTGTTGTAATTCATATTGTTGTCAAAGTTAGGTTGCAGATGGACCATAAGGTATGCAAATTTAAGGGCTGAAAGTGCAAGAGTATAAAAAAATGTTGATGTACATGGATGACCTACATAAACACCATCATCAAATGCAGGATAGATATGCCAAATCAGCAAAGCACCCAGATTATGGGGCATGAAATGAATGCTGTTTGGGTAATTTCTATCTAATGTTGTACAGACACATCTTAAGCATCCCTCTATACACATGAATTACATCTAAACTCTCCTATAGGGGCAAGGATATCAGTAGAACCCCTTAATAGAGAAGTTGAGAAATTTATAGCGTTGAGTCAGTCAGATGCATACAAACATGTAAACGGGATTAACTCTGATTATTACCAGAACGGATGGAGGAGGGTTAAGGCCAGGTGAGACAGTTCTCTTGCTTAAAACAAAGGTTCCAGCCCCAGAAAAGAGTAATTTCCCTTTTTTATAAACAGTCCCCTTTCGACCTTAATTTAACAATGCAATTATTCCAGAACAAAAGAACACACTTACTGGCATTACTGTGCAATTCCAAGAGGAAGCGGTCACAAGCTCATTGACGCAGCTTTTCTGGCTTAGCATCTCGGAGGCGCTCAAGTTACTTTTGGTCCTTCTAGAGTCTAATTCTGGAGTATTCCAAGAATTTGTCCCGGCACTTGCCCTTCTGGAATTCTGCTCAATCGCGTAGATGCGTGCCGTGGTCCCTTCTGGTTTGGAAGGATCAGTAGATGACCTACATGGAGTCCGAGGATTTACGTGTTCAACCTCTTTGGCTAGAGAGTCTTCCAAAGAACGCAATCCTCGTCTTGTCCGCCATGAGCTTCTTACCGTGATGTTCTTGGCCTCAGATGAGTTTGTCCCCAGAATACTGTGACTCTTCCAACCGACCGTCTCCATGGGCGGTTCACTGTTTTTTTCGGTGGTGTCCGAAGGCCTTATTGTAATACTGCTTTTAGAAATGACCGTTTCTACTCTGCTTCTCAGAACAGAGTCTCCATTTTTATCAGGCTCTGGTAACTTTACGGTTATACTGCTCTTGTTAAATGAGAAATCGTTAGGAATGCTGGTTGCATCTACTCCTGGAGAGAGTTCACTTGGAATGGCTTGAATTGTAGCATCAACTGTGCTGCTCCTTGGAGTAATTGGCTCAGATGGGTAAATGGTGATGCTGCTGGTCATTTTATGTGCTACTGTCTTACAGGTGGCAGGCAGTTTTTCACAGCTGGTTTCCAGACCAGAACCTACACCACCCATGATTTCCTTCACATCTTTCTCCACAATTGCAGGTTTGATGACGGCTTTCGAACGCAGAGCTTCTCTTGGACTAAAGGGCCGTCGGGATTTCAAACCTGACATTGCACCAGCTGCTGTCATTTTTGATGGTCTACTGAGGTCTTCGCTGCTTGCGCTTCTATCGTTTTCAAAGGAAGAGATATGAGCGGATCCCCTGGAGGTTGTGAATTCTCGGGAAGTGGTTTCTTTTTTTATTCCTAAGTCTAAAGTAGCAGAAATATTTCCAAATTTGCTTGTCCTTTCCTCGGTGCGGGATTTCTCAATGCGGCTGGGATTGACAGCTTTGGATCTTGTTGCTTTTAGGTCCAAATTGTTGCAGTTTACATTCGACGAAAGAGCTTGGTCCATTTCCTCTTTTTGAGCAATTGGATGGTTCTGCGAGGTATCTTCTTGGCTTTTGGAAATGAGCCAAGGCTTCGATAAAAGAGAAGGTTTTGTCATTCCATGTGGAGGCTCCATAGACTCTCGGAAGTTGACTACCTTTTGAGAGTCCTCTTCCAAGTGCTGCCTACGAGCTGAAAACGTAGCTTCCATCTTTGAGCTCATGGATTCAGAAGTCAGGGTTTCTCCTGAGGGATACTGCCCATAGGATGAAGCAGCGCCATTTGGAGGCCCACCATTAGTTTTGGAGGTGCGAGTATCAGTGGTAAGAACCAGTGATTCCGTGACATGCATCTTCAGGCCCTTTTCAGAAGATGGTCCTGCGAATTCTGGTTTGCTGGGCTGGTCTTCGAGGTCATCAGGTTTAACATGATGAGCAGCGTTCAGTGGCTGGGGTTCTTTTTCAACTCTATTCCTTGTGGTATGTTCGTTTTTGGGTTTTGAAGAGATCTTCCAAGATTTATGCTCCTGGGCTGCAGGTGGATAACGGCTAAGCACTGAAGGCTGCTCCCTAGATTTCTTCACTTCAGTGGCCGAGGTGCCGCTGTCTTTTGGCGGAGAACAGTTCACACCTAAGGTTGATTTGTCTTCTACCCATTTAGCATCAGTTGATAAAGAGTCTAATACTGCATATGTGCCAGATGTTTTGGCTGCTCTTCTGCTGTTCATATTAGGGCTTGTAACTCGCTTGCTACTTTGGCCATAACATTCATTATTCAATTCTCGATTGCGTAGCCTCTCCCGCCGGTGTTGAGGTGAAAGTTCCCGTGACTTAGGCTTAGAAACTGCTGACTCAGTTGTAACAGTTCGATGCTTGGGTCGGTCGTGCTTAGCTCGGCTGGGCACGTTCACGTCCTCCATCTCTGCTTCACCGTTCTCCAGCTCTTTCTGCTTTTTCATCTCTATTTTTATTTCTTCCAGCTGGCCCACGAGGATTGTGTTCTTATTCTGTTCACTCAAGTAGCTGTCGTGGAGGTCATTGTTTTTGGCTCTAAGAGTTTTAAGCTCCTCTTCCAAAGACTCAAAATGTTTCATCTGGGTCTTAAGCTTCTCAATTTCTTGATTGAGGTCCCTCACTTTGTTGTCTTCTTGGTTTTTATTCTTCTGATTTTCAGATTTGTTTCGAGTTTCATTTTCCACAAGCTTTAGGTAGTCCAAGCTGGCTTTTCTCCTGGTTTCTTTTGAGGATAGTGCTGAAGTTGTCAAGTCAACCTCAATCCTTAGGTCATTTCTGTCAATTATACTATTGGACGATCTCTCCAGCAGATTTGATGTATTGCGAGTTTGGTCAGCCCGATTAAGTTTATTATTCTGTTCCAGCTTTTGGGTGAGCTCTTGGATCAGCTTTTCGTTCTGCTTCTCCTTTTCAGTGAAATGTTTTCTTTCACTGACAAAAATGAGGGCTAAAGATTTCATCTTTTCCAGTTCACTCATTAAGCTTTGCTCTGTTTTATCCAGCCGGTCTTCTGACTGTTCCAGTTCTTTCACTTTCACCCTAAGAACTTCCAGTTCTGTTGAAATCTTCTTGGTCAGGTTTTTCTCCTCGTTGAGGCTGAGGCAAAGCTGAGTACAGTCATTTTTACTCCGACCAAAGGCCTCCTCCAGTTTCTCCAGCTCAGCCATTCGCTTCTGAAGCCTCTCGATTTCAGATTTCAGCTCTCGGGTGAGGCTCTCCTCGTCCTCAAGCTTGGTCTTCATCAGCTGGCACAGCTCTTCTGCCTTTCGGATCTCCTCGTCCTTGCCTTCTATTTTCAAAACTCTCTTTCGCAAGGTTTCCACATCAGCCAACATGCTGGAGTTGCTGCCTTCCGCCTGGATCACTTTATCCTGCAAGTCTAAAAGCTCGTCCTCTGCTTTCTGGAGATTTCGTGTGGCTTCCTCTAACTCATCAAGGCGGCGGCTGAGACTCTGAAGTTTGAAGCGCAAATGCCGATTGGAGGTCTCTTTATAAGACGAGTAGTCAGCCATGTTTGCCCCTCAGTTTATTTCCCTTTCCTATGTCTCAAACGAAATTTTCAGTTGGTGGGTTCTTTTCCGTGATTTCATAAAGCTTTGTAGAGAATCGGCACCTAAAAAAAGAAAGAAAGAAAGGAGAAAGTCAATACAAAGAATGTGACCTCAGTTTTACCTTTGAATGTGTAAATAGTTTGTGAATGGTTTCATATTTGCTCATTGAGAATGTAATTGTGACGTGCTTTTTAACATTTTCACCACAGGCTAAATAAATAAGTAATGGACTTAACTTTGATTACTGCGAAATTAAATGAAATCAGACCCAGTATTTGTGGTGGCCCCATCCATTTTGGCATGGGTCCTATGACCCATCACACAGGGTCCCAATATCTTGGCATAAGCCAGGGGTGTCAAACTCACAACATCACATTGCCAGCAATGGGGTGGGCGTGGTTTTGTCATGATGCATCCAGCCAGCAGGCCGGCAGTTTGACACCCCTGGCATAAGCAAACAGAAGCCCCACTAATTTAGGATACGGCCACCGAGATAGCACAGAGACCTTATGTGCATACCAATTTATTATTCTCCGACATAAAATGCACAATGGGCATGAAGGTTCAGTAGGCCAGCATGTTGTGAGACCTCCTTGGACACGACTTATGTCATCCATGTTGTACACTGACCAACAATGGCACAACCCCCGCAGTCACACTAAAGCAGGACAGACCATTTCCTTATAGTGGAAGACATGGCTTGCTTTCCATGTCTCTAGCCCTGTCCAGCTGGAACTTCAAGAGAAGGCAGGGGATGTGTGCGGGTGAGCAAATTGTACCCTGCTATGACCCAAAGACAGAAACGATGGCATAGAGTCCCTAAGAGGGCCAAGGATGAAAACGAAAGAAGAAAAAATCAAGTTGATATCACACACTTAAACAAGCCAAAAATATCATCCCGCATCTTCTTCTCCTTGGCAAGCCCCTCCCTCTACATCCTGATGCCATCTGGTTGCAAGGGAAACCCTTTTATACCCCAAGAGCAAGCTCTTGTGATACGAATCACCCACAGTCCTGTTACACCGTTCCCACCTAACAGATGTCCTTTTCCAGAGAGTTAGTTCACTTCCTTTTCCTTTCCTACTGCTGAATTACTCAGCCTTGTAAAAAAAAAAATGGGCAAAGGAGCATTTTGTAGATTTGAGACAGGGAGCCCAGCTTGAGCTGGGACTATTACCTCGTACAGGCTGGAGAACACTTGGACTTGGCCCATGGAATTAAAATGGACATCAGAGCAATTAACAGAAGAGAAAGGAAAATCACTGCAGGAAAGTCTGAGATAATTACAACTTCCATAAAGACTTCTTTCTTTCTTTCTTTCTTTCTTTCTTTCTTTCTTTTTCTTTCTTTCTTTCTTTCTTTCTTTCTTTCTTTCTTTCTTTCTTTCTTCTTCTCTTTCCTCCTCCTCCTCCTCCTCCTCCTCCTCCTCCTCCTCCTCCTCCTCCTCTTCTTCTTCTTCTTCTTCTTCTTCTTCTTCTTCTTCTTCTTCTTCTTCTTCTTCTTCTTCTTCTTCTTCTTCTTCTTCTTCTTCTTCTTCTCTTTCCTCCTCCTCCTTCTTTTGCAAAATGATCCCAAATTCAAGTATGGAGCTAATTTGGAGCTAATCTCTACAGGCCTACAACCTGACCTACTATACTAGTCATACAACACAGTTAACCAGGTCAGTTACAAACCTATTGGTTCCTTGAATCCAAGGCATTGTACAAATCCAGATTGTCTCTTAAATTCAATAAACATTTTGTATGTAACAACCACTGTAAGATTGCTTTCCTTACTCCTAACTCCATGCTAGGTTCAAATATCACACTAAGCCACAAAGGGATTTGTTTGGTTTTGCTTTATGAGACCTATGAATCCAGCACAGTGTGTAAAATATTCTTTGTGGTTTAGTATTATGTCAAAATTAGATCACTGTGGCTTGTTCAGACCAAGCACAGTGTGTCTAACAAAGCAATATTTTAAAAGATATTAGCTTTTCCCAATATTTTTACCAAGTCTGTGGGCCTTCAGATGCTGCTGATCTACTATCCTAGCATAGCCAGTGGTGAAAGAGAAGTGGAAGTTGTTGGGATGGGATGTCTTACTAACCTGGAAAAGCAGAAGAGGAAACAAGACCATTGCAAATGTCTATGGAGATTCTCAATCATCTAGGTCATGGTTGTCCCAAACATGCTTTTTCCAAAAGGCAACGGGACTTTCTTGTTTCTTTTCCCCTTGAAAACATTTCGCTTCTCATTTAAAGAAGCTTCTTCAGATGATAAGCGAAATGTTTCAAAGGGGGAAAAAACCCCAAAAAAGTCCAGTTGCTTTTTGGAAAAAAGCACCTTTGGGACAAGACCATTGCAAGAGAGACCTTGGCCCAAGGCAGTAGGGAGGCTTGTGAGGAGAAAGAAACTTAGAGCACTTCCTCCTTAATTACATTATATATAGACTGAGAAGGATAACCTCCTTGATAAGCTGTCAGGTTCTGTTCTATCAGGGGTCTTCAAACTTGGCCCTTTTATGACTTGTGGATTTCAGCCAGGCACACTGGCTGAGGAATTCTGGGAGCTGAAGTCCACAAGTCATAAAAGGGTCAAGTTTGAAGACCCCTGTATTATATTATTCTCCTGGTAATAAATATCTTCCAGAAATCCAAAGGGTTCTTCTTTCCTACATTTGCCAGCCTCAAAGGGCTTGGCCACTGTACTTCAGCCATGGTTATTTGTCTTCACAAAGCTATTTAGCCTTTGACCCACACACAAGATCTTGCCAAGGGTGGGAAACTCTGTCTTAGTCCAACATCTTATTTCTCATTGTGGCCAAGGGACTGCTTCTCCCTTGTAAAAAGAAGACAGAGGGCAATTGCTCCCCTGCCATTCTTCCCCTGCAACTTGAACTAGGCTGCTCACAACTTGGGAGGTAAGGCTAGGTCTTCAAGGCTAATAGCCCTTAATAGACTTGTCCTTCATGAATTTATCCAGTTCATTTTAAAGTCATCCATGTTCAGGGCTATCATCATGTATTCTGGCAATGAGGTCCTCAAGGTAATTTGTACCATGTGAAGTTGTGTTTTCCTTTGTTTGTTCTAAATCTCTTTCCAATCAATGTCCTAGGATGACCCTATAACCACCTAACCACTTCCTTCTAGATTTTCCTCATTCCATCTAGGTCTTCCTCACTACTCTGCAGAATTACCCTTCTTATCCAAGAGCTTTTTTGGGGGGCTTCTTTTAATTTGATCAGCTGTTTCCACAGCTTTCTTTGCAGCCTTAGAGTACTAGAAAATTGCATTAAAATATAAATTGCAATGCCCCACCCATTCAAGTGATGGATTCTCCATTTTCCCCACGAAGTGCATTCCAATGGCAGGGTTCTAATTACTGCAGAAAATTTAGGGTTTAAAGGGAACAGGGGTCCTTTTATCATAAATATTTATATGTTGCCTTTGTGTGGAGAAAAGTATTTAACACAAAAATATTCAAAATAAAAAGGAGGGTGTGGAGATGGTGAAAGCTCAGAGGGCAGGAATACTATAAACAGCCTTTCCCCATTCCCCTTTTTAGTTTTATTTTTCGGTTGCTTTTTATCATTCTTTATTGGGACAAACCAAACATCAACAAAACATTCAAGATAAAAAGGAACAAAGTAGTTGTAAAAAAAATGGAACAAGAACAAAAAGCAAACACTGGAGAGGGGAAAACACAGTTGTGGGCATATGGAAATATACAAACAGACATTTGTGGTCTTAAGGAGAAAGACAAAAAAAATTAAACATCTGCATTCAATACTTCTATCTGGAAAGGCACTGATACAGATGGAGTTTATCTACTAGAATGACATTATTGCAAATAGTGAAAGATTTTTCTTTCCGTTCCTGAGATGGCACTGCTGTAGCTGCTCTTAAAACCAAAACGATAACTGAAGGTTAGCCTGACTTTGCCTCTGGAGTATTATTTAGCAGCCAAGACCATGCCACTCCAGATGTTTTCTTCCCTTTTTAAAGGGCAGGGCTTCCTGTCAACCAGACAGGAACAGGGTTTTCTTTTCCTTTATAAATAGCAACCACTAAAGGTAGCTTTGGGCTAAGTTAAATTAAAAATGTAAAATGGCCTCTCCCAGCATCTTAGACTAGGAAGACTCAACATCTGATATTCTCCAGATGTTTTGGATGACACTTCCTCCAATGCTTTGCCATAAATCATAAATCTGGAAAATACCAGGTGACCTTAGAATACTCTTCCTTACCCTGATGCTTGGAAGGCACTCCTGTAGCGAGAAGAGGTTTAATGAAATGTCTTTATATTGTAAAAATGAGAAGATAGGGCAATGACAGCCAGTTTGGTCTAGTGCAGGGGTCTTCAAACTTGGCCCTTTTATGACTTGTGGACTTCAACTCCCAGAATTCCTCGGCCAGGCACGCTGGCTGAGGAATTCTGGGAGTTGAAGTCCACAAGTCATAAAAGGGCCAAGTTTGAAGACCCCTGGTCTAGTGGTTAAGGCGCCAGCTAGAAACCCGGAGACTGTGAGTTCTAATCCCACCTTAGGCATGAAAAAGCCAGTTGGGCGACTTTGGGCCAGTCAGTCTCTCTCAGCCCAACCCACCTCACATGGTTGTTGTTGTTGTGGGGAAAATAAGAAGAGGATGGTGTGTTGTATATGTTCATCGCCTTGAGTTATTATTTGTAAATAATTAGGTAGGATGCAAATCAATAAATGACTTTCTATATGGTCTATATCGGGGGGGGGGTTCAAACTTTGCAAGTTGAAGATGTGTGGACTTCAACATCCAGATTTCCATACTTTTTAAAGTTGCCTAGTTTGAAAAACACTTATCCAGGATTTAATAATATTCTAAATGTTGAGCTAAATCTATATTAATGCATGGATTTTTTTTCTTTAATTTTTGTTCATTTTAATTGCTCTGCTCTGCTAATTTATCGTATTATCACTATATTGTGTTAGATAGATAGATAGATAGATAGATAGATAGATAGATAGATAGATAGATAGAT